AAGTTGGAATTGAGGAGCCACGAGTTGACACGGATGCTATATACTTTGAAGCCGTAAAAGAGGAGAAGAAGAAAAGACTTTAAGATATCAAGTCAAAAGCATCTCACTATTTATCTCGATCGACTGGCACCAGCCTACTCCTCCATAACATCACAGCTTCCTAGGCCCAATGTCGCTAAACGAGATCCAATTCAATACACAAAGATGATGAGGGAAATGTAGGAGAGGTTAGAGGAGCAAAACAACATTATCACGCAACGAACGAGTGAAGATTCAAGGGATGGAGACTCATATGCATTTGATTACATTGATGTTAGAAAAGGTTGTATAGTCAACCCATTTGTCTACCGACCCCTCCACTAGCGAAAACTTCACCATCCTCCCAACGAATGTCCAAGACACCACTGTCCTTCCCACCGAGTACCGTGACTCCACCGTCCTTCCAATAAGCGAGTAAGATGACACCATCCCTCCTACCGAGCTTCGGGATTCCACCATCCCTCCCACCGAGCCCTAAAAAGATGAGAGCATAATACATAATAAGGAGTGACTTTTACTTTTATTTTTTTTAATCGTTTGGTGTACAAACGAATATTTTTTTTAAATATAAATTTTAATTTAATTTAGTATATTTTAATTTTAATAAAAAATAATTTTTATAATAAGTTTATTTTAATTATTAGTTACCACTAAGAATATCAAAATTTTTAAAATTCAATAAAAAAAATTTGAAATATTTTTTTTTAAATTTCTCGATGAATTAGCGACGGAATTGCAATGGATTAGTCACAATTACTAATAGATTAGTGATAGATTTAATAAAATAGATTAAATTTAATTGAAAATACAATGACGAAAAAAAAAAAATCCTTCACACTATTACGTCCATCTAGCGACCACAATAGCGACAGATTAGTTACCAAACTTAGCATTGACTACTAGTGACAGCTTTACTATCATTATTTAGTGACAGATTTTGACGGCTTTACGATGTCTCTCCATGTGTCTTTTGAGTAAAATTGGTGACGTAAAAATAATTGTAGCGATGGATATTCAGATCACTAATATAACGATGAATATTGTTCAATTCTCACAAGGGTTAGCAACAATTGATTTGGCTATGAAATTGTTTTGGTTGCAAATCCATCACTAATGGAATATGGCAATTGATTTGCAACAATTAGCGATGAAAATATCCATCGCTAATTGTCGATTTCTTGCAGTGTAGGTTTTGCTTTAGGAAGTACATGACTATTATGATATTGATATCCAAAATCAAAATTCAATTCCTACTACTTACGGATAACTAGCCATAATTATTTCTTAATAATACTAGATTTGGACTCATTTGATTTAAAAAAGAATATAGTGGTTGACCAAAAATTAAACGTGTTCTAGCATTGGTTTAGCCTAGGAAGCGATGGATGACCCGAAGATATCCAATATATATATATATATATATATATATATATAAACGACTTAATATCTTTTGATTGATTACTATAGCCTTAATACAATTGTAACATTAGAACATGCTATTAATATTAGTAAGTAAATTCAACCTCATCTCTAATTAAGAAAAAATTAATATTGGTAAAATTCTTTAAAAAATATTAATTTCTAAAAGATAGGTTATATATATATAATGTGGATCCTAAAATGTAAGGTTATCTCCTTTTTTATTATTTTTATGTTTATACACCACTTAAAACCCTAAATAACATAAAAACAAACTATTTAAATCACTCCTAAATTATATAGTACTATATTGATATATATATATATATATATATATATATATATATATATATATATATATATATATATATATATATATACTATAAAAAATCTATAAGGTATTATAAACAAGCCAATAAAAAACATAAATTTTAAAATAAAAAATAATTAAATTATATCAAAATTCATCACATTATTATATTGAATCCGTAGTTAATTTTTTATAGGTTATTTTTTATTATTGTCTTCATCGTTTTTTACTCTTGTAATAAAACACAACCAATATTAAAAAGGATAATATTTATCAAAAATGATTTGTAAGATTTTTATTTATACATGTATTTTTAATTTATATTTATGTCACATATAATTGAAAATAACTATTTAAAATATAAAAAATACAATAATATAATGTTAAACGATAATGTTTTTTAGTAATTATTAGTTCTAAGAGTTATATATATTTATCCTAATTATTTATTATTAATTATTTTGAAAGATAATTCAATTTATGCCTCTAGTTTTTACTTAAGTTTTATTAAAAATATTTTATATAGTTCAAAAATTTTAAATTTTGATTTAATTATAAATATCAAAATTTATATATAAAAAATACTTGAAAATCAAACATGTTTATTTAGCAAACGTTCAATTAATTCTATTAACTTATAATGAAATAATTATAAATAATTTAGTAGAAATTAAAAGAAAAACACTATAAATTAGTTAAATAATACGTGTAAAACACATGTTAAGAAACTAGTAATATAAAATTGTGTCATCAATTAATCATCAATATAATTAACGTATGTAATAGTAGTAGTAGCTTAATACACATTAATTTTATCTCTAGAAACTCTCATTTACCCATGCTTAATCCACGTGTAAATGCTAATTTGACAAGTTATGCTCCGATAATCGTGATGTTTTATTCTATTTAATCAAGTTTAAGAGTTTGACATACACGTGTGTCTTTGGCTTAAGTTACTTAATTATATATGGCAATAACAATATATAGAGCCATCCATCAGATTATATACTTTTTAACTTTTGTCTTCTTACAGACGGTAAATGGGTTGACCCACCCTAGCTTGAGTGTATGAAAGTTACTGATTGTCTTTTTTCTTTATTTTTATTTTTTTATTTTTTTTAATATGTCTCCAGAATAAATATACGGAAAAAACTTATTATATGATATACACACAATATATATATATATATATATAGACACACACTCACCTTTAACCTCTTTAATGAAATGGGGAAACCTCAAGAAAGGTTATGTAAAAACCCTAAAAAAATAAAAATAAAAAATAAAAAAAGTTGAAGAAGAAGAATATAAGATAATATTCAAAAAGACACTGAGAATCCCAACAATGACTCGGTCTAAATATTTTTATCGCGAGATGACGTTGTGATAGTAGCAGTATACTCATTCTTTGGTCGTAGTATAGCAATTCAAAGGATTTCATTGGCTATCATACCATGTGAGCAATTATTAACTGCGTGCATGTCGACAAAAGGCAGCCTGAGCTGGTCTGTTAACATGGAGACATCAACATTGAGAATGACAAAAACATTTCAATAACTCTTCTGATTTTTCCACTTCATTAGGAGTAGTTTTTTATTCTATTTCTCCTGCTCTTTACTGCTAGAATTTGATACACGTTCGATATAATAAACAAAATAAGTCCATTGAGCCAACCAAAGCTAAATATGCGGTCACCCATGACCCAAGCACCATCATATTTCACAAATTTATGACCTGGAAACAAGACCTTCGGTAGCTTTGGTAATTACAGATTCTTGCAAAGCAATCAAATCCAATTCCATTCATGCATGCATATTGTTGTTGTCTCACATGCAATTAAGGGCGATTGACCCTTTTGCAATCTTAGGGACATCTTTAAGCTCAATCTCATTTTAGGATTTAATAGCATAAATGATTGGACTGGGCCGAGCCGATTTCATTCCCTAAGAAGTTTTACACAAAGTGGGACAAAACAATTGAGAGTGAAAATTCGTGGTTAGCTATCCAGATGGGACTGTGCTGACTAATGCCAAAATTTTGCAGACAAGGTCCTAGACTGCCTCTCCTGACTGGATGATTAATACAACTTAATTAAGCTTGTTTATTTACTAACTATGAATTATAAGGTAATTAGGTATGACTTAATTGACTATTTGTACGATAATGCTGACTTCCAATTAGCAAGAGTTGATTAATATGATTAGGTGTTTGACTTGCAGCCAAAAAACTAACAAGATTTTATTTGGTAGGGTAACAAAACAAAAGTTTATTATAATAACCACTTCCCAAGCTGGACTGCCCGTTAGTTGCTAAACATGTTTGGCAGATTCAATATTCGGTATAAATTAGTGGGCCTCGGCCCCTATCGTCACCACGTCCCTTGCCATGACCCACCACAGATAGCTGGCCCCTTCTGACCAAAGTGGGCATCATGCAAGCACTTGTTTTCTATATCGTTCGAATAATTTTTGGACGAGCTGCACCAAATTCCCAACAACAACCGTCAAATGATGCATAGCAGGAGTGCGTGAAGTCCTACTTACATACAGGGGTGAGCATTCCGTTAAACAGTTCGATTTTGTACGATTCGATTCGATTTTTGATTAATCGAATTAAAAAAAATAAAAACCAAAATCGAACCGAAATAAATTCGGTAAATTCGGTTTGTAACCGAATTATTTCGATTTGGTTTCAAAATATTTCGGTTTTAACCAAAATATTTTGCTGTAAAAAAAAAAATCATTACAGAGAGATATTTTATACTAGCACTTAGTTCACTAGCCAATAAAGTAACATCTTGTTATCAATTAATCCTTTTTATAAACAATCACAAAGCCATTGAAGATTTTAACTAAGTTTTAATGAAAACGAGTCCGAGTGTAATAAATTTACTCATTCAAACACACTCGTATCCCAATTAATTACACTCTTGTCACTTTCTTTTCTTACCCCAACGGTCCTCAAAATTTACTTCCCATCTGCGTGTTTCAGTTTTAACAAAAATAAAGATTGAAAAGTTAGGGATTTAGAAATTAGGAAATTTTTTACTTTTTATTTTGGTTTTTGGTCGAAACCGAAATTTTTTTCTAAAAACCGAACTGAATCAAAATAATTTCGATTTTTTTTGTTCGATTTTATATTGTATAATTTTATATTTAAAACCGAACTAAATTTCATAATTCAGTTCAGTTTTATTCGGTTTCGGTTAACTGAACCGTTTGTTCATCCCTACTTACATAGCTGAAGTCTGCCACCAGAAATGCAAAAAGCTTTCTTCAGGCGATAGTTTAAGTATTGCTGAGGTCAAGTAGAATTCGGCACCGATAACCAAATGCTGTTTCTCAAAATACCCTAAATTCCAGTGCTGGTTATTCTGTTTCTCCTTTCTCCTATTCCATGGCCAGACTCGCTCATCATCCCTTGTTGACGAATCTGTCCAGATTCATTGGATCAGATTCTCAGGGAAATTATTCCCTGATTTTCCTAGTAATAATTTTCGGATTTGCCTAGTCAATGCAAGCTGTGATAATTGGCTATAATTACAGCCATTAATTCTGATTTCCATAATTAAAGGTTTCCTAGTTTAGATTGTATACTAAAGTAGCTCATACCCTTGTAATCTATAAATATGTGTAAACCTTTCTCAATAGAAGATAGAACAATATTTTCTGTGTTCATGGTATCACAGCCTTACATGTTATTCCACTAAAAGAAAAGTTTTTTTCCTGCCATCTCAAAAATGTCAAAAATCTCTGAAACAAATGTCAACCTAAAGACTACCAATGATTCTGAAACAATCGATTCCCTCATATCAACCTCGCCACTATGGTGGGATTTGTGAAAATGCTAACGAAGAACATGTGGCCAAAACTTTTATTCAACCAAAATTCCAATTGCTTTCACATTTAGAAATTGCAATGTGGCCAATAAAATAAATTGTACAACACAAGTGCATCATCTAACGATTCTTTTATACTTTGCTGAATGAAACAGTGTCCAGTTGTACAGCAGACGATGCAACTCTGTAATTGGATTACCATCCTGTATAGGGTTACATCTAATAAGTTCGAGTAACTTACCAAACATGCGAGCAGAGCGTGTTAATCTTCCATTGACAAAAATTAAGCTGGTCAACTGAGTATGTGCAATAGGCAAACCAAGAAAAGATATTGCCTCTTTGAAACTCTGAACTGCAAAGACATGCCTCATGAAAAGGATTATCCCTTGGTTGCAATAAGGACTTAAGATTTCCCATCTTGAAGCTTTGTCACAGATAACTTTCTAAGCTTCCTGTCATGGTTGAGCACGGCGCTTACACTCTCAACCACCAAAATAATCTGCCAAATAATAATAATAATAATAATAAGATAAGGATCAAACATGATTCAAAGAACTGGTGAAAATTTTGCAGCAGTAGACAAATTAAAATAGAAGTAGCACAAGAACAGCTGGTGGGTCACTTTCATGCAAATAAGAATCAAGTGAAGGGTGGGAATCTGCAGAACCATGAGGTGGCTAATTACACCCATAATCTTGACAAGGGGATGAATCAATTACATATATGTAGGAGGAAGTTTGTCATAGTTGAAACCATGATTGCAAACTACTTGGATGCTAGCAAAGAGCAAAGATTATACTGTAAACTAGAAATAACATACCTGCAAGCATGCATATGCCATACCAGTTGCGTAGTAGAAGTTTGCATTGCCAGTCCCCTAAAAATTTTCACCAAATGAGCACTATTTTATGAAAATTATTAATTTGACCAAGAAGATAATCTGGATGAAGAGGCATACCCTCCAAATCCATAGGTTGTGCATCACAGGGCTAAGAAGGGACACCCCAATATATCCACAGAAGAGGAAGAAAGAGAATTGCATGTCTGCATTGCATGCCATTCAGGAGGAGTGAGATAGCAGACCAAGTGCAAATTCATCACCAACAAAGATTAAACTATTAGCTTACCTGCTAATTCATCAAGAAACAAACCCAACAAACCCAAGTATAGTGCAGAATCTCCAACCTATTCAAAATTGAAACACAGAAGTAGAATGTGAAGCAATTAGATTCTTCAATATATACATAAAAAATAACAAATAAAAGTGCAAATCCCCAGTAAAATCATTTGTTGTCTGACTAAATGGGCAATTATCTTATCCACTTTGCCAAAAACCATTGCTCACACGTGATTGAGCAAAAAGAAATCGTATGAAGTTGTGATGCACATTTGTTTATGTGAGTGGATGTAAAAATGGAGTACAGATGAAAATAACAAGCAACTCACCGATGGATAGGACTTAAGCATTGAAGAGATTGCAATGTAGACGAAAGCCAAAAAGCAGGGCCGGTGCTTTAGCCGTATGGCTAATGGCAACATCATAAACAAAATATTCAGGTGGAAAACTATCAAAAAGAAATTTCTGAAGAAATCAAACACTTCGGCAAAGAAGTACCTGCAATTGAAATGAAACAGATGACTATCTAAGTGCCACACCCCATATTTAGTGTTAGAGTTCCCCACATCTACAAAGAACAATAAAGAATTTAGGCTCACCACAGAACACCAATATTTGGTGACATATCTTCCACTGTGAGAATGAACCCATATGTTCTGCAAAATAATGCCAAGCATCACCATCAAGGAAGTTCAAATAAATATAGCATGAACAAATTTTTGAGAAGCCACATGGAACTTCTTGATGTCAACATAAATATGAAGCAATAAAAGTATTTTTAAAGCACAAGCAGATGTTCTTTGAACATTTTCGATCAACTTGCCTGGTACAGAATTAATGCAATTTAAAAGGAAAGGAGATCCATTCCAACTGTTTCTTGTTGAGCCAATGTTAGATAACACTAGACTACAGATTCTTTGATGAATAATATGTAATACCCCAAGAAATTCCCAGTTTGTATTAACTTTTAAGAATCCAGAAGAGAATTCAAAAAGTTTGTGATATCACTTCACTTGATTCTGTACCAAATATCAACAAAACCATAGTAGGGCTTATGAACAAACTCATTTAAAAAAGGTGCTTGTAGATTTTTATGGGGTGAAATTAACCCGTGCCCTTGTACTATTCAATATTATTCATTTTAACCCCTCTACCCAGGTATGGTACAAAAATCGTTTACTACTGAATGTTGGAACAAACCAGTCTTTCCATCCAACGTCTGACCAATGATGACATGTGGTAAAAGAAGGTGGATGGAAGGGCTAGTTTGTTCCAATGTTCAGTAGTATAGGGTTGGTTTAGTACCATACTTGGGTAGAGGTAAAATGGACAATATTGGATAGTACAAGGGCACGGGTGAATTTCACCCAATTTTTATGTGGCCAGTCTTCCCTCAATATAAATCTTTTCTCATGAGCACAAATTAAGCAAAATTTTCAGATACATCAACAACCTTTAGCACAATCAACCTAATTTTCATACATGGTTTCCCAATAGTGTTATTTTTAGAAATGAGTACTCACTTCTCAATAATCCATAAATCTGATTCTGACATTGATTAACTCACAGAAGAAAACTTAGGAGAGCAGTGCTATTATTCCAATATATGATGCATACGAGATATACTGAAGCAAAGAATATCCAAATGATACCTTTGAAACATCTCCCACAGGCTACCGTGCTGTTTGACAGATATAATGCAAAGGACCAGCACATAGGAGGACCATAGAGAACTCCACAATAAGAAATGTATGACTGGTCGCCATGAAAATATAACTTGTGGCTTTGATTGGTAGGTCTCCTGCTGACCACAGTTATCGCTTGAGTGGTTATCTCCATTTTTACCATATCCCTTCTGCAGGAACAACTTTCTGGGGGGTGTATCAGGACCATATCCCAACAAAAGAGCCACCTGGAGCAAAACCAATTAACCACAGTTCCTAGAGAGCAAAACATGAATTGTGTACTTTATAATGGATATTCTGCTATGTATTTGAGAACTTAGTATTTTAAGACAAACAAAGTAAGCAGGAAAGGAGCATTACTGGAATGATTAGAATTGCAGGATAAAGAGACAAGTGTGTCGCCATAACCCATCCAAATGCTGCCAGAGGAACTAGTCCTGGACTCCATCAAAAGAACAATACTTCAGTAAAAGATGCAAGTTACAAAATATTAATGTCAGTATAGCATATCATCCATCCATGTTCAGTTGCAAATATACACAATTAACATTCTTATTCTGGAAAATAAGTTATATGAAGAGATAAACCATGGAACAAAATTCTAGCATGCTTGGCATGACATCAGGCAAAGCACTTCATATATATCATACTTCCATGGGGCTATTGTTTTAACCCAACCCCCACCTGCTGAGAAAAGCCAAAATGCTGTCTATAAGCCTGCAACCTTGTGGCAATATGGATTAATCAAGGTCAACTCTTCCCAAGTGCAGTCAGCTCTTCATTAAACTTTTCAAATTCATAAAAAGATCACAAACCATAATTACATTTTTCAACCAGTTAAAACCCCCAAAACATTCATAATTCAAACCAGTTACCCCTCAAAACTGACACACGAGACCAATCACTTATGAGTAATAATGAGAGATCTTTTACAATCTTCTAAAGCTTACACAGATATAGCAAGCCTTCTTTATTCAGACTGATTTCACCTTTCCCAAAATCCCTGTTATGAGTGGAACAATTAACAAAATGGCTGTAAAGTACATCCAGCCAAGGGCATCAAAGCTTGATGAGCAACTTGATATACTAGATGGGTATTATATCCAGGGAGAAAATCAAAAGAGGGTATATGCCACATATTAGCAAATATTACACAAAACTGAACATGAGTTTTGGACAACATTATCAGAAGCCCTACTATGAAAATTCATGTAGCTGTACAGGAACAGTCATCATTACTAACACAAGTAAAGAGCAACAAATTTGTCATCAAAAGTCAGTGGTCCTCCTTTTCAGACTACAGTGATAATTTTGCTCCATTGTTTAGTTCTCATACAAGTTGACTTCAACAAAAGACGGAGCCATAGATCACTAAGATAATCTCAGATAAATCCAATCGGTTCCTGATAATCTGGTAAAAGTCCGTTAGCATCTTACCTTTACAAGCTCCATAAAGTGCTAGTATGACAACAAGATTTTCAACTGGGGAAGTGGATAAACCCACACATGCAGCTATAGTGAAAGGATTCCACAAGTATACAAGTGCAGCAATATCTCCTGATGAAAGTAAATCTGAAAACAACATCAATTTTAAACTTCATCAGCTAGTAAAAAGTGGATACACTTTGTTTCTGAATAAACTCTATCAAGAATGCATTTTGCATATACAAGAAACCAAAAAACAAAACAAAAATAAAAGGTTTCTCATTTTAAAACAGAAACATTAAAATTCTTAATCTCTATGTTATATCATATGCAGTGAAAGTTGAAAACAACATTTCATATATTAACTACCTGAACTTTTTAATAGATCAACAATGTCAAGTGATTTTAAACTCTGTATATATGCCATCTGTAGAGTCTGACCGGTGGCACGAATAAGCAAAGCACTAATAATATCTGCAATGACAAAAACCAAACTGTATCCAAGAATATGTAGATTATCACCCGCATAACTACAAATGGACACAAGTTCGATACCAAAAGAGAGATTTTTTTTTCCCTTGAACTTAAATCAAAGTTGCTTTAAAAAAAAAGCATAACACAAAGATCAAAAGGGTAAAGCAAAAATGGTATACCTGCATAAAAGATGATCAGGTTGCCCTTCAATTCTGCAACACAAAAAATAAATTACCGTGCTATAAACTAAAATCAAGAAAATTCACAAATAACTAATTTAATGAGTGAGAAGAAATAGTTCGTTATTTAGTAATCACATTGCAAAATGTAGCTCGCATAAATTAAAAAAAAAAAAGAAAAAGAAAATGAATTAACAGTGATTAAGCTGGAATCCTAAAACCAACTACTAATTAACAAATATAAGCAAACAAATTATGAAGCTTTCAACTCTAATTTGACCTAATTAAAACAATTAGTATAGTAGTAGTACCTTTTAACAGTGAGTGGACCAAGAAGTGAGAGTAACAATGGAGAACCATGGTACATCGATCCTACAAAATAAATGAAAATAATAATAATTCATTTCTTATACATTATCGCTTTTTTTTTTAAAAAAAAAAAACAAATTCTCACACGCAAAAATTTACCTGCATAAGGAGAGATTGATGATTGCTTCAACCAGTAACCTTCGGCCACTACAATAACAGAAAAAAAAAAATCAGTTAAATTAAAATTAGGCTGTGAGAGAGAGAGAGTGAGGGAGAGTATTTACGGCGACGGAGGCTTGTGAGAGGAGTGGAGACTTCTGGGCGAGAGGCTAAGTTGAAGTTTCTAGGGAGGTAAATTAGAATCAGCCTTAACAATACTGATGATATTAACCATCTCCAAAATCCTCTCTTCTTCTCGTCCATTTTTTTTTATGTTTTCTGTGTCTGTTTTTCGCTAAAAAAGAAAGGAGCTCCAGCGATGTTTTAGATCGGAGCTTCCGTTAATTATTATTAATTCGATCGATTTTTTTGATTAATTCTATCGACCGAGCATTTGTAGTTTAGATTTTAAAGGGCTAATGGTTGTAGGGTTTTTTTTTTTTCATCTTAAATTCCTACTTCTATTTTTGTCTTAAGTCCGTCATTTCATTGATTTTTTTAGTTAACAACGGTAAATCGCACCATTAGCTCACAAAATTATAACACATGTTTTTTTTTTTTTTGTCTTAATTTCGTTCATCTACTTTCTTTTTTCAAATTTATATAAATGAATTTTAAAAAATAAGCAAAAAAAAAAAAAAAAACTGCAAAAAAGGTAAAGATACATCAAATCATTCTCACTAGAAACTGGAAAATAGATATATAAAAGTAATGATAAAAATTTTTTTATCCAACTTATCTTTTTAGGTTTTAAAAAAATTGTCATTGAATATAAATTTTGTCAAATATTTTTTCAGAATATAAATTTAGCTACAAATTTTGAGTTTTTTTTTTCTTTTTTCTATCTCAATAAAGGGCAGCACTAAGAAAACACTAAGGTTTCTATTCTCACTTTTGAGTCAAATTAATAAATTATAAAATAAAAAAATAAATTATAATAGTTTTTTTTAAGTATTATAAAATTATAAATATCATTAAAAAATTTAAAATTTTAACTAAAACTTTATTCATATTAAAAAAATACTATAAATATTTCATTTTATACTCAAATTTTGCTTATCATCATAAACATAAATTTAAACTTGTAAAAAATATTTTTATCATCATCATCTCTCTCTCTCTCTCTCTCTCTCTCTCTCTCTCTCTCTCTCTCTCTCTCTCTCTCTCTCTCTCTCTCTCTCTCTCTCTCTCTAAGAGGGAATGATTGGATATATATTAACTTTTTGTTAATTTTTTAAAATTTATTTCTTTAAATTTAGTATTAAAAAACAAGATTAATATGGAAAAAAAATAGAGTAGAGGGACGAGATTAAGATTAAAAAAATAGAAATAGAAAGTTAATGGAAAGGTGAGATTAAGACAGAAACTAAAAAAAGAAAGAGTAGATTGACTAAAAAAAAAAAATACCAAGACAAAAGAAAGAGTAGATAGACAATTGAGCATTTGGAGTTTAGATTTGCTTCCATTAACCCAACTCATTATTTGCATCCCATATTTTCACCAATTTGTTAAAAAAAATCTTGTATTATTTATTCAATCAATTGAGCACTTGTAATTTAGATTTTATTCAATTGAACATAATTTATCTAAATTAAAAAAGAAACTATTGAATAGGAAGGGTGTAATGAGAATGTTAAAAGCAATAAAAAGAAGTTTATAATAATGAATTATGTAGTGAAGAACAATACTCAATTGATTGAGATAAATTTTTAATTTTGAAAAATTGCTTAATAGACTGAAATGAAAAATACACATATATAATTGACTAAACTAATAATAGAAGGACTTTTTTGATGAATTGATGAAAACACGTGGTGTAAAATAATATTTTTAAGCCAATTCATTTTGGTATGCAAAAACTAAGGGTGAGTAGCACTCTATTAAACTAAAAAACCTAACCGAATTGAATCAAATTATTAATTTTGATTCCATTTAGAGTTCAATTTTTTTTTTTAAATCGAATTTATTTTGTTTCGATTTTTGAATTTTGAATTTTGTTTGAATTGAAAAAGAAATTACGAAATTTTCAAACTTAAATTATCATCAATTATATTATTTTTATTACTAAATAGATAATATTTTTATTGTGGATCATGAAGCTAATGGTTTATTTAAACAAATATTTATTTATCTTTTATATAGGCTAATTTAAATCATTTGGATCACAGGAAGGATTTCATAGTCCATCCAACAATTTTTTTGATCTCATTATATTATTTTAATTTTTGCAATTTTTTTTTTTGAAAAATTGAACTCAAAAATAAAAAAAAATTGACTTTATAAACGGAAAAACCAAATAAAAATTTGATTCAGGTTCGCTTTTTTATTCGGCTAACAAAAGATCAACTGAAATAGTAAAAACAAAACAGAATGATCATCTTTAGCAAAAACTAATTTGAAAATAATTAAGAAAAAGAGTGTCAATTAAATAATTTTTTAAGGAAGATTTATTTAATTATGTTACGGGTTTGATTATTTTCTAATCAATAAATAAATGAAAGAAATCAAGGATTTCAACAATAAGGATAATCATAAAATTATTTCAATAATCTATTCTAATGAAAAGGAGGGATCAAGCATTTTGTATAATTTATTTACTCTATTTTTTTTATTTGTCTCGTCGTAGTATATATAGATATATAAACTATTGATGAATTGATTGTAGTTTATCCAAACATCAATGATATTGTCATCTTATTTAAATTTCTTAAACTTAACCCATATATTTACTCTTCTTATGTTTCATATTAATTTCTCACAAATACAAGGATGAAAATACAAAAGGAATTGATATTTTCTCTCTGCATGATCATGAGATGGTGACGTACTAACTACGGCCAAAAAAGAAAAAAAGAAAAGAAAAGGGTGCATCACACCTTATCTTCCAAATTCTATTACAATTAGTCATTATCTTCATGCCAAACAATCAAATTCTTATAAAGATGTTTGCTTACATTTTTCTCATGCGTCATGAGTTTTATCAAATCTCAAGCACGTTGTTATCATATGATTAATTTATCACAGGGGGATAGCCCTTGGATGCAGATGAACCCTGCAGGTCCCAAATTTATCACTGTCTACCTCTCGATCGTTATCAAATTTAACTACATATTTAATTATTTTATATGAGATTCAATTGATATTAATTTATGCATCCTGATCCAGTTCATATTTGTTCACTGCTGACGTGACGTGAGCAATATATTGAATCTAGTACGCATCCAAGCGTACGTAGGTTTCAAGAATTAATCAATGCAACGCCACAATACAATATATACATCAAAGGATGTCCAATAACTAAGTCCATTTCATCAATTGGTGTCGTAGTTCATTGTACAGAAAGTACATTAATTTTCACTGTAAAACTATATATGTATCATGCATGCTACAAAATTTTTGGAAGTATATGAAAGTGCTTTTATTGTAATATTTTTGATGGATCTATATAATCTTTGCTGCTTCTGCAGCTTTTGATTTGGATAAAAGACGAGAGCTAAAGCACTGCTGTCTGTCGGTTTTTGAGATGAAAAGGAACGCAAAACCCTCCTCTACAATGATCATTACTCTCTAGCTAAACCCATCCCTTTCAATCTTCGGTACTGACAAAAAATGCCACCTTTTAATTCACTACTTAAAAGCTCTTCTAACTGTTACACTCCCTCCCCCTCAAAAAAAAAAAATAAAAAATAAAAAAAAATAATTTTCTATCCTAATCCCAAAAGATTCCAAATCAGGAAGATGCATGAGATCAAAGCTTCATTTTGGAGTAAGAATTTCTGCTCCAATATTTAAAAAAAAAAAAAAAAAAATTCTTCATGTATATATATAAAGCTATAGCTAGAATCTCAATCCAATTAAAAAGATCATGAACTGAATCGTTTCAATTTCTAGTTTGCTTTAAGCTAAATTCCTGAAAAAATGCAAGCTAAGAAAAGATATATATATTTTGTACGTAAATGCTGTCATGGTTTCAATATTTTCTGTCCTGCAGGCCAGATGCATAATCTCGATAGTAAAAGGCTGTCGATCTCTTGCGCAACCGTACATCACATTACATATGTAGGAAAAAGGCAGAATCTAAGCAATGAAAGTGACAAGAAGTTTGCAAGTTTTTATTGTTCCTGACAATATTTGGAAAGTTGCAAGTTAATAATTTATCACTGATCAGAAGCCAGTGATTAAAAAAAAAAAAAGAATCAAACATGAAAATGTAATTATCAATGTAAAAAAGCAGATCATTCTTAGTTATACGCACCCCTTCTGCAGTTTAATTAGTTAGCATACACCATTCGGTCATTGAGTGGTTGAGGGGAAACTGTTTTATTACTATCAAGATTACACTAATTTATTTTCACGTACTAATTAATAAAATGCCAAATTATATATTAACCCTTCACGCATTGCCAAAAAAAAAAAAAAAACCCAGCTTAATTTGGTTCACAAAATAATGGCTCAAAGTAGCTCCACTCAAGCGAACAATCTTTTCTCTGCTATTCTCCTTCTCCTTCCTCTTTTGCTTCTGGTCATCCTCAAGCACTTTAAAAACCATTCATCGCCACCGCTTCCTCCAGGTCCCTGTTCATGGCCAATCTTAGGCAACATTCTCCAACTAGGAAATAAGCCTCATATCGCCCTAACCCATTTTGCAAAGATCTACGGGCCACTCTTCTCATTAAGACTTGGGACCCAACTTGTAGTGGTGGGATCCTCTCAAGCTGCTGCCATTGCAATCCTCAAGACTCATGATCGAATTCTATCAGGGCGACATGTTCCTCACATGGCACCGACCAAGAGTTCAGAACTTAACAAGTTGTCACTCGGTTGGGTTGTTGAGTGCAATAAGAAGTGGAAGTATTTACGTACAATATGCAAAAGTGAGCTTTTCTCATTCAAAGCACTAGAGTCCCAAGCATGCATAAGAGAAAAAAAGGCCAAGGAAATGGTTGGTTTTATCAATAAAATGGAAGAAGGGCATGTAGTTAAAATTAGAGAGGTAGCAACTGCTACTGTTTTTAACATGTTGAGTAACATTTTAGTGTCGAAGGATCTTATTAGCTTGGAGCATGAAAGTGAGGATGGAGGGATGAGTTCAGTTCTAAAAGATATTGCAAAGTTGGCTTCTACTCCAAATATATCTGACTTTTATCCAATATTGGGTCCATTAGATCTACAAGGTTTAAGGAAAAAGACCATGGAATTGCATAGGAGGTCTTTCAATATGTGTGAAGCAATCATCCAAGAAAGAAGAGAGGGAAAAAGAGATGGTACTAATGCTTCAAGACGCAGAGACTTTCTTGACACTCTTATCCACAATGGTTCAGGCGATGATCAAATCGATATATTGCTAATGGTTTGATCTCATTCTCTCTCTCTCTCTCTCTCTCTCTCCCGACCATCCACATACGTTCACAAACAAATTAAATGGAATATATTAGCACAATTCGAGTTCCCAAAAAAAGAAAAAAAGAAAAAAGTGTTTGCTAATTGGGCTTCCTGGTAGTTCAAGCCAAGCCTGAAGCCTTTCAGGTGGAATTGAAATTAGATATTGGTCTGGTTAGCATAGGCCCAAATGAGCCATCTATAAAATGAATAAAGGCTTAGACTTTAGTGTTTTTTTTTTTTTTTAGTACTTAGTATTTAAAACCCGATTCCTATATATCATTATATTTCTAGTCTTATAATATATAATAAAAATGTTAATTTTATTATCGAATAATTTAATTTTACTTTGGACACTCAAATTATACTCTGAAGTAGATACATACTAACTTCAGGAATTTTAATATAAATGATTAAAACTTATTATGCTAATGCTTTCCATTTGTTGCAACCAATTTATCCTTTAAAAGACCAAAGACACATTGGTAAAATAACATATGCTCTGGCCAGCTCTTAATTTCATTTCAAAAAATTTATATCTAGTAATTAATTGATTTCTTTCTATATTAATTGTGATTAGGCTATTTTCTTTCAATCTTATACTATGACATATAGGATTCTTTCATGTTCGATGTTAGTAGGAGAAAATAGTGTTAGGTGGTATCTGACAGCCAATCTCCTAATTAAAAGTCACTCATTTTAACTTTACATTGTTTTACTATCCCTGCATACTTTTTATTCACTTATTTAACAAACATGGAAAACTGAACATCAATCATTTTATTCCAATTGTTGTTTCATCATGAATTTTCAGGAGCTCCTGTCTGCTGGCACAGACACAAGTAGCTCAACAATAGAGTGGGCAATGGCAGAGCTGATAAAGAATCCGAGATGCCTAAAGAAAGTTCAAGAAGAAATTGCAAATGTAGTAAATATGAGCCAGCAGGACGCAGGATTTAAGGAATCCTATCTTCCACGACTAACGTACCTTCAAGCTTGTGTAAAAGAGACCCTCAGGTTGCACCCTCCAGGACCATTTCTTCTTCCTCACCGTGCCATCGACTCGTGCCAAGTGATGAACTACACCATTCCAAAGAATACTCAAGTGTTAGTAAATTATTGGGCTATCGGGCGAGACCCCAAGAGTTGGGAAGATCCAACAGTTTTTAATCCAGATAGGTTCTTGAGCTCAAATTTGGATTTTAAAGGGAATGACTTTGAGTTCATACCCTTTGGCTCAGGAAGGAGAATCTGCCCTGGCCTACCGATGGCTGCAAAACATGTTCCATTGATCATTGCTTATTTGATCCATTTTTTTGATTGGTCTCTTCCATGTGGAAAGAATCCTACTGATTTAGACATGAGTGAGAATTATGGCTTGACTTTGCGGAAGGAACAACCTCTACTTCTAGTTCCTACTAGAAAAAAGTGAGTGAAAGATGATTTAGCTGTCCCTTTTGCATTTCTAATAATAAAGATATGTCTTGTTTTGATGTTCTTCGTCACAGACTCACATTTGTATTTTAGTTTCCACCTATTACCAAGCTCCGTAATTGAATCAGAATATTAAGATTAACTGAAGCACATGAGAGTTTGGATCATTATTTGTCCTTTACTTGCACAAAATAACTACTATAATCCTAAAACTCAGATCATTACAATTAATCATTCGTTCGTTTTGAACCATGCTAACTGTGACTATCAATCTGACAATCCCAAACTTGCACTGCTAAAATACAATTTGTCTGTGTGTGCGCGCTTATGCATATGGGATTGTCCAGTATGGTAAGAATTCATCTTCTTTTGTTACTTTCATTGCATTGTTAACCTTTTGGTTTCGTATAGTTGTTAATAAAACATCAAGAATCGACTCCGCCCCAACTTGCATTGAGAAGATCAATGAGATATATACCAAGAAAAATGAAAGGCAGCACCCTCCTGCACCATTTTTCCTTCCTAGCCCTGCTATCGAGACATGCCGAGTGATGAACTATAGGATACTCTCAAGTACTAGTCAACGTGTGGGAAATGGGACTGAGACCCTGCGAATCGTGAAGACCCTTCAAACCAGAGCATTTTTTCAAATCAGCATGGGATTTCAATGGTAACGGTTTTGAACTCTCGCCCTTTGGTGCAGGAAGGCAAATGCTCTCGGTGGCTGTAAAACAGGTGCCTGCTGTTCTTGCATTATAGACCCATTTTTATGATTCGTCTCTCCCTCAAGGAATTGTCCATTTTTTGCTGCAAATAATTGAAGGAATGATTGTGGCAGTGATTTCTACAAATGGTGTGAGCCATTGTTATTGAGTAGATCAAAGGATGTGATTTTGGGCATAAGAGATGGGCAAAGAAAATTATATTTTGAAGATAGAAGCATTAATTGATGATGAAAAATGAGAGATTTAACATTGAAATTGCAAAATTGAAAGCTAACAATCAAGAACCGAAGGTTAATTGTATTCTAAGAAAGAACAACTATTTCTAAAAATTGCGATGCTTAGAGTTAAGAAGAACTATAGTTTAGAAGAGGTTGATGTTTTAAGAAAAAATTTGAAAGAATAAATGAAAAATTTTACTTCAATACAAAATGAGAATTATGTTATACATAATGTTTGTTATTGTTTTGTTGATGTCTAATGTTTGAATTTGTACGATCAATTTTTGGGTTGTAATGAAAATGAAATTCTCAAATTGGTATGACTTAATATATTGGTCTTGACGATTGTAAAATGATATATGGTTCTATTTTTCAAAAGTTGAGTCGTGTAATAACCCGAATTAAAAAAAAAAGGGTTGGGTATAAAAGGAAGGGGCAGCTACTACCCCTCTACTTTTTCTCCTTCTTTCTCCGTCTCTCTCACGCATTTTCTTTCCGAAATTTTCTCCCATTTCTCTCTTCAATTTCTAAGCTAAACTCTTGCTAAATTAGCTTAGAGAAACCTTAAACCAATTGACTAAGTGGAGTGTAGCTAAGTTGGAGCTTCGGAAGCTTGGAAAACTAGGAAGAATGAAGAGCATTGTGTGAAGGTAAGATTTTTGATCCATTGATCTTTGAATTGTGAAGTTTATGTGTAGTTAATGATGATACCGAGGTGTAATTGCTTTGGATTGTAAATTACTTAGATTAAGGTTAGAGTTTTAAGATCCATTTGGGAAAAAGTGATTTTAGGCAATTGTATGACTTAAATGATCTTTAATTATCTTGGGTAAGTGAATTAAAAAATTAATTTAAAGTGAAATTAATTGAATTTGAGAAATCAAGAGGTTGAAGATGATGAATAGTGATAAATTTGAAATTTTGGTTTTAATTGGAAGAAAATTGGGAAAATCGAGAATTAAGCTATATAAATGCAATTCAAGGTTAATGGAATGAGTATTTGATGAATTAGAATGTAATGGAACATTTAATTGAAAATCAATTGAATTAAGGATTGATTGATTAAATGTTTGAATTGAAAATTCATGATTGATTGAATTAAGTATTAGTGATGATGGGATTTAGTGAAGCAATGGATTAGAATTATTAGAGAGATAGTAGAGTCTAGTTAAGGTTATCGATTCGAGTCTTTCCAGTCAATTTCATTTTTGTTTGATAATCTTATATGCTTATTTTCATCATTTTGAATTATTCCTTGAGATATTAATAGATGCCCCATCATTTGTGATGCTAGATTTTCGGAGCGGGCGACTCCATCCCAACCGTTTTGATTCCGTTCGGTTCTTCAAATTGTACTTTGAATGGATATTATCTAGTGTACTATGTTTTAATTCCTTGAATCATGTCTATCATGCATAATTGAATTATGAATGATTTAGAAGCATTCCATTAGAATTTAGGTGGGAATGGACTCCTTAAATATTCAAAAGGTTTTCATATCAAAATGATTTTATATGCATCAAAAAAGGTTTTGATATGTGTTTTTGAACTTGAGCAAATGTGTTATAAATGTTATTTTGATTATCCGTATAATTTTTAAAAATACGTTCATGGCATTTAAAATATCGATTTGAAAATGTATAAGTATGTTTAATATTCAAAAAATGTTTTTAAGACCCTAGGGAACCGATAGCCTTTGAGCTCAATGATACGAGGCTCCATCTAGCAGGAAAGGTGTAGTGCAAGATCGTGTGTCGACTAACAAGCGAAACCTAGTCATGGGGCGTGTGACCTTTAGGTGTTCATACCCAATGATATGTTATTACCCTACGGATGTATAAAGACCTATATGCATGTTTTTGTATGAGTATGATATATGTATATGCAAATGTTTTAATGATTTGATACAAAATGATTTTGAATTTCTATTTATGATATGAGATGTGTTTTCGACATGCATGTGTTTTGAGAAATGAGCATTGCATTTTGATATGAATTTGAGAATATCGTCCTTAGTTCATTTTCCTTCTTTAATATATTATATAATATCTACTCACCGAGCTATTGATTGCTTACCCCTAATTGTTTTAGTCTTATAGGATATTGATAGATTGTTCATTATTTCCTTTTGGTTGCTTGATTCAAAGTCGGCACATTGGTCGTGTGACTCATTTCCTTGTAATTTCTTAGAACTTACGTTTGTTTTAAATATATTCTTTGATGGTCCGTAGTTATAGCTGTGGGTGATGTATTAGGAGTTGATTATGAATATGAAATTATGACTTGCATTGAGGTTGTAAGAATTGTTTATTAAGTTATGAAAATATTAATTAAAATGATATTTGAGCGATATTTATTTGAGGACTATAATATAAGTTCGATCATGATTGGAGGCTTTTAGATTAGTATTAGATGCTTGCTTGGGTCGAGATGCGCCTCACGGTTCCCTCAATCCTCAAGTTGGTCATGGCTCACTCCGGACGTCGTGACAAGTCGCAACTCATTTTTCTAAAAATTAAAAATTACAAAAAAACCTAAATGATCGATCCTAAGAATTCTGAATAAAAGGGTTAGTTACATCACTAAATAAGACTGCGATCTCTTTAACATGCCCTCTTAATGAAATTATCACTCAATACCTATCGAATTTCTTTATGTGAATTCTAATTATGTGTTCATTTTTCTATTCTAATTTGTGAGTTGATTATTAGAAAAATAAAGAATTCTAATTATGTGTTCATTTATCTATTCTAATTTGTGAGTTGATTAGTAGACTTTTTCCGACAAATTCTAAATGATGTAATTTGGAAAGTGAAAAAAGACTTAGTCTTTCATAAATTGTCATCGAGTCATTGAAACCTAATTGGAAGGGTGAAAATTGAGGCTTAAAACCCAATTGCAAATTAAACAACTCCAAGTCCAAATAAAACCCTAATAATATGAACATAGACCTTGACCCATATTAATTTGTCATGCCACCGAAAATAGTAAAATTGAAAATAATAATAATAAGCCTTGTTAGTCGAACCAAATTGTTCTCGGGTTCTAAACCTACTCATCTAAATTGACATAACATCACTCATAAAAAATAAACAAATTAAGCAAGTAAGGATCATAAATCTTGTAAAGATGACCATATAGAAAATCAAAATAGCCAAGTAATTAGCCTATTGATTTGTATTTGTTTATTTTAATTTTTTCACCATATATAAAACAAGTGTTGGTTTATTTCTAGCTTCATCATTGACCAAAAGTTTTTCGCAGACTTTTTTTACAAAAAATAAAATTATATACTATAATATGTCAATTACCCTTAACCTTTTTTAAAAAATTAAATTAAATTAAAAATATAATTAAAATAAATTTAAAAAATATTACATCTCTTAATTGTAGTTAGATTAGATTTTTACACATAAATAACAAAGAAATCAAAATCGAAGCCTTATTAAATATGTTAAATAAAATTAATGTATACTTTTAATTAAACCCAAAATCAAGTAAATTGAAGTCAATAAATCATTCAAATCTTATATTAATCACATAATTAATTTTACTAGAATATTAATCATTAAAATAATCATGCCATGTATAAAACTCAAATAAAATTAAATTAAGAATTGAAAATCATCGGTGTAAATGCAAAATTAGAAATTTGAGGACCAAACGAGATAAAAAGATGCGAGAGGTAAAAGACACGGACTTGGCACGTGAGGATGATTCCATCATCAAAATGGAAGTGGACCAACATTGTTGGATTCATTTTCACCGGCTAATCCGGTGGTGTAGCGTGTGTTAGTGGCACAATTAGAAGTAGTGAATGGCGTAACTATTTTCTTCGTCTCTTGTTTATATTTCTATCTCCTTTTATCCCGTTAGTTTGTTTTTTTTTTTTGTCTTCTTTTTTTTGTTTCAATCTATTTGTGTCTCGTTGCTAACCAACATTTAGAAAACTTCTTAAAAATTATTATTATCAATATGTTTTAATTATTTATTTATTTTGAAGACATGAGTTAACCAAAGTTTTTTAGAGTTACCATCTAGTATTAAAAGATTTAGAAAACCTAAAACGGTACTAGTTCGGAGATTCGGGGTAAGGAGTTAGTTGTTTCTTTAAGAAGATATCAATCACCTAAAGGCATTTTTTCGAAGAAAGGTAGCATGTGTAATTTAATCCTAAAATATATCTCTTATAAAAATCTATTTTTGCCTAATTATTTCTAAGTTTGTTTCCAAGTTCACCTATTATCTAAGCTGAATTAATTTTTTATTTTTATTATGACATCATATTGAATTAATTGTTAGACCTCGAAGTCAAGAGTCTCATCAATTCAATATCGAATCAGAGTTAAAGTCTCAACATAATCGATATATCGGAGAACAACATAATTAATTAATAACATCCGTCCCTATTGGATAAGAGACACTTTAAATTAGCTTAAAACTTGTTCTTTCTTTTTTATTATTTTTCCTAATTAAACTAAAGGTATTTAATTTGATGTATGCGAGAAAAAAATTTTCAAAATTAATTTTTATTTATTTATGGCATTATATTAAATTAACGTTAGGGTCTCGTTAACTTAGCATCGAATCTAAATTAAAGTCACGACACAATTGACATATTGAGTAACGGTCTAATTAAACTAAAAAAATGTTATTTATGACACCAAATAAAATTGACATGGCTTAACTCTTTGTTATCATTTATTCTATCTTTTTTTTATAGCATTTTTA